ACACAACATTGTCCTATTTTTTTGTCATTCAATATATTTTTTGTTTCAACTGCCCATTGATATTCTTCTTTTCCAGCATCTTGAATAGAATCAGTCAAACAATCAAACCATGAATCTCCTATTTCATTTTGATATTTTTGGAAGGTCTTCAAATCTAAAAGTCGAATATTCAAAAGCGAGAGACTTTCCTCTAGCGAATAGTGACCTTTTCCAGTTGATAACGTTCCCCAAGTTGCCAAAAGATTAATGTTGCCATCGGTTTCTTCATTATTTGTTGTAATGGATTTTTGAAGACCACATGCTGGGCATTTAAAAAATAGTTTTGAATTAAGACCTACATGAACTTCCCTATCATAGGCCAAATATCCAGTCTTCTTAACATGACACTCATGACTTTCAAGAGATCTTACTTGAGCTACAAAATGACTTATATTAACAATTCTTCTTCCAGATATATTCTTTAAGTTGGGATCGTATGAACCAGGTAAACGAACTCTCTCGATTTCTAAATCTGGTAAACTATCATCAGTATCTGACGAATCTCTTCTTTTCCTTGGTGTATTACAAATAAAGGCAATGTTTATTTTCCTGAAAAATGTATTAAAATTATAATTTTGAATATGTTAAAAAATAGTGGGTGTAGTTCGTTATTTATGAGGATAGTGGTTGAAATAAACGTGTACTAAATATTAAAAATATACACAGGGTAGCTGTTAAAGATGGAACCAAACCTATAGTGCTTAAACGGTTGAACATACAAAACTCAAAATTTCAGAATTTCAACTAAATATATTTGCGCATATTTTAGCTCAAAAATTATTTTTTTATAATTACAAAATCATGGCCGCCATCTTGATTTTTTTAAATAGTAACATAGGTCATGTGATATACCATTTGAAAGGGTTTAACACCCTGATTACAAAAATGTATGTATTTGACGTCTTGTGTCAAATGCACAGCCTCCTACGCTCCCTATTAATAATATCATTTTTGTTGTGTTTAGACCCCATGTGTGATACTATAACTCTAAATCAGTTATTTTGTTCCTAGTTTTTTTTTAATACTAATTACTATTAATATGAATTTTTCTGGTCCGTTGGTTATAAAGACAGCTAAATACTTATTAAAAAATATTCTCTATTCCCCTTGAACTTATTTCCGTTTCCCAGTGAAACACCCTGTATAATAATATTAATTTTTGTTTCTCATAATTTGGTTATTAATCAGTTAGTGACATCCAAAAAATATAGACTATTCGTACTTACTTAGTATCAGAGGATATCTTTTCACAATCGTCAGGAAGATTCAAAGTACTTGCCAGAGATCTAAAAGAAATAAGTCTATTACAATAATATAAAAAATATTAAATTTACAACAAAATTATTATCTAAAACTCTAAATCAGTTGTTTTGTTCCTTTTTTTTTAATACTAAATAATAATAATATAAATTTTCTGGTCTATTAGTTATAAAGACAGCAAAATACTTATTAAAAAATATTCCCTATTCCCCTTCAACTTATTTCCGTTTCCCAGTGAAACACCCTGTATAATAATATTAATAATTAAAAAAGTGTGTTTCTTATAATTTTGTTATTAATCAGCCAGTGGCATCCAAAAAATATAAACTAATCGCACTTACTTAGTATCAGATGATATCTTTTCACAATCGTCAGGAAGATCCAAAGTACTTGCAAGAGATCTGAAAGAAATAAATTTATTTAAATAATATAAAAAATGTTAGTCACAATAAAATTATTACCTATAACTCTAAATCAGTTATTTTGTTCCTAGTTTTTTTTTTAATACTAATTACTATTAATATGATTTTTTCTGGCCCGTTGGTTATAAAGACAGCTAAATATTTATTAAAAAATATTCTCTATTCCCCTTGAACTTATTTCCGTTTCCCAGTGAAACACCCTGTATAATAATATTAATTATTACAAAAAGTTTGTTTCTCATAATTTGGTTATTAATCAGTCAGTGACATCCAAAAAATATAGACTATTCGTACTTACTTAGTATCAGAGGATATCTTTTCACAATCGTCAGGAAGATTCAAAGTACTTGCCAGAGATCTAAAAGAAATAAGTCTATTACAATAATATAAAAAATATTAAATTCACAACAAAATTATTATCTAAAACTCTAAATCAGTTGTTTTGTTCCTTTTTTTTTAATACTAAATAATAATAATATAAATTTTCTGGTCTATTAGTTATAAAGGCAGCAAATTACTTATTAAAAAATATTCCCTATTCCCCTTCAACTTATTTCCGTTTCCCAGTGAAACACCCTGTATAATAATATTAATAATTACAAAAAGTGTGTTTCTTATAATTTTGTTATTAGTCAGCCAGTGGCATCCAAAAAATATGTACTAATCGCACTTATTTAGTATCAGGGGATATCTTTTCAGTCAGGAAGATTCAAAGTACTTGCCACAGATCTGTAAAAAATAAGTTAATTACAATAATATGAAAAATATTAAATTCACATCCAAATTATTACCTAAAACTCTAAATTAGTTATTTTGTGCTTTTTGTGCTTTTTTTTAGTTACTATTACTTAATATGAATTTTCACGTAATCGAAATAAAATTTTATTTACAATTAGGTCGTACAACTCTGATTTCAGATGCTATATGATCCCTATTATATGATCAATTCTTAAAATTTTATTAAGGCAACATTATCAAAATGATTGTTTTTACTATTAGATTTAAAACTAACTAATAAAAAAACGGGTATGCACTTACCTTATAAAATTCCATCCTCTTTTATTTTTAAGTTTGGGAGGCATATTAAAAAATTATTTATTTTAATTTTAAAACACGATCACAAATAAATACCACTATTCCCAATCAATGAATCAATGCTATACGTACAATGCATAAACCTATCGCCTACCGATAAATATATAAGTGTATCGTAATATGACAACACTGAAGAGTGCGCAATTCTTCTGCAAATAAAACGTGATGGCTCCACCTAACAAATGGAAGCGGAACTAAGAATATAATCTACAACTGCAGGTTACTTTGTTGCAAGATCATTCGTTTTCATCTAATACACTAATGCCATCTAACGAGTCAGAAACCGCTTAGTAGGAGGGTCCATATAAACCTTAAAGAAAGATGGTAATTTGAAAGGAACAGCAAGAAATAAATGGACGCATATTCTTAAATTTATTGTTGAGCGCAAAATGCCTCCTTCAGGTAGTGGTCTCACATACAACGAAAAACCTATAGAGTACGTATATTGGGATGATCCGAATGAGCTAGTTGATCGTTTAAAACTACTAATAGCGTCTAAGGATGCCGGAAATACATCTCATGATAATGAAATTGTTGCCATTATCAACGAACTAAAAGAGGCTAATATAATACGTTAATAAAATATTTTAAACCATTTGCATCATGAGTGTTGATAAATTCGGACGTCATTCGGGTATAACTAAGCGAAATCTTCTTCCTATTTACCGAGCAGCATTAACTTCTCGTACACCAGAAGGAGATATTGATGCCAAGGGGTACAAAATATGTAACATTAAAGAACCAACAGACGATAGCGATGCTACCAATAAGAAGTATGTTGATACTGCTGTGACGAAGTTAAAAACGACAACAGATGCACTTATAGATGATAAAATAAGGGTTGTTAAAAAAGATTTTAAAAAATTGAAGGATGACAATAAACAACTAAATGATATTATAGTAAAGGAGCCTCCTACAGCAAGCAAAGACCTAGCTAATAAAAAATACGTAGATCAAGCTATTGCAAATTCAAAAGCATTTTTTCGAGCTGACATACGAAAAGAAAGTGGTGAAATATTACATGAGGTACATCTATATGTTAAGGACTATATTTATCAACCTTTAGAAAAAAGATTGAATGAATTAGCAAAGAAAATTGAGTCCATCAAAAAACTCCCTACTCCTTAAATATAGTGTAATTTAACATGTTACATTTAGTCATGGCTTCGAAAGAAAAGATAGAAGTAGTCAACGAACTGCATAAAGATGCTCGAAAAAATTATCCTAGACGACGTACGATAATTAAAGGTTTAGATGACCTGTGGCAAATGGACTTGGCTAAAATGCGACCTTATGCACATCAAAATAAAGGATACAAAATGATAATGGTAGTGATAGATTGTTTTTCCAAATTTTTGTGGACACGCCCCTTTAAAACGAAAACTGGTGAAGAGATAACTCGGACGTTTTCGGACATTTTAACTTCGACTGCGCGATGGCCGAAAAATTTGCAAACCGATCAAGGTACTGAATTCTACAATAGCAAATTCCAAAGTTTAATGAAAAAACGAAACTATAATACATTTACCGTTAAGAAAGCTGCCATAGCTGAAAGAGTCATAGGAACTTTGAAATCGAAACTTTACAAATATTTTTGTTTAAACGGTACATACAAATGGATTGATGTATTACAGCAGCTGACTAAAGAATATAATAGTACAAGGCATCATAAAACAGGATTCAAGCCGGAGGATGTAAATAAGTCTAATGAGAGTAAAATTCTTAAAAAATGTTACAGCCATTTAAAAATCGCAGGACCACGCAAATTTAAAGTTGGCAATATTGTACGCATATCCAAAGCGAAGCATGTATTCGATAAAGGTTACACCCCCAATTGGACAACTGAACTTTTTAAAATTATCAAAATCAAAATAACCAATCCCATTACGTACTTACTTGAAGATATGGAAGGTCAACCAATCAGCGGTGCTTTTTACGAAGAAGAATTACAAAAAACTAAAAATCCTGATATATATCTAGTTGAAAAAGTACTCAAGAAAAAAGGAAAGAAAATGTACGTTAAATGGTTAGGTTTTAATAATCGGCATAACTCTTGGATTGATAAAATTGATGTTGTTTGAACTACTTTTCGATGAGCTGCGCATGAATACACTTTCGAAAAGCAGGATGCATGATCGGAGGGTATAAATATGGATTTTTAGTAGAAAGGTACAGTCTTTAAACATGATCGATCAGCAAGACAACGACAGTGGTTACTACAGTTCTGTAACAAGCGAGTCTCACTACGAGCATGATCTCGATCAAGTTCTCCAAAAGTACGAAACAGCTGCTCGATATGAAAATTATTATCTGCTGCATACTTTTCCAGCTGGTGCATTTGAAATTGAATGTGGTCTAAGTCCGGCACGAACATTTAGTCCAGCCGTAATTTTACGTCAACCTTATAAAACTGAAAGTATATCATTTGGACATTACGAATGGATGGATCTCCTGGAAACGCTAAAACTAAGTAATTATGATTTTTTCAACGAACCTCTCAACGCTAATATCGTTCCAGATGATTATGAGCCCGTAACGTATTCATGTGGTTATGAGAGATGATGTTATGAATATATTAGAAGTGACAGACTTAGTGACCCGTTGGATAGGTATGCTGGAGCAATTGGATTTTATGGACTATTATATTAAAGTGTTAGATATAATAAGACCCTTTTTTATAAGTAATAATGATTTATGGTATGTTAAGTTACAAAATTTACTTGATCTATCTAATAATGTAATGTTAAGTAATGGTCTTAGAGAATATCTATTTTATTATAAAAATAAATTTATGATTGCTTTACAAGGATTTGCAATATAAATTTTTGTTGTACTTGTTACTTTTATTTCTCCTTCTCCTCCATCATTTCCATCAAAAAATCATCAAAAAGCGATAAAAAGCGTATCACTTTTTGATGCTTTTTCAACGCTTTTTTGTCTATCAAAAAAGCGATGAAAAGCGTTCCATTTTTCAACGCTTTTTTAACACTTTTTATCGCTTTTTTATTTTATCAAAAAGCAGCGAAAAGCGTACCGTTTTTTATCGCTTTTTCAATGCTTTTCAATGGTATTTTATCTATTTTTGATCAACCAAAAAGCGATTAAAAGCGTGTCACTTTTCGACATCTTTTTGTCACTTTTTTATCGCTTTTTTTCTCTACCAAAAAAGCGACGAAAAGCGTATCGTTTTTTCAACGTTTTTTCAACGTTTTTTATCGCTTTTTGCATCAACAAAAAGCGATGAAAAGCTAGCCTCTTTTCAGCACCTTTTGATGCTACATATAAATATATCATCCGTCATCATGGAGGTCATTATTAAACAAGATGTCTAGGTGTATGTACGTCTTTACATTGTTGCTCCTTATCATCATAGAATCATTGCTGTTGCTGCCATCATCATCGTCGGTATCTGCTCAAAAGATTACAACTCAACAAGATGTTATGGGATATTTACAACGTTATGGGTATATAAATACAAGTGAAAATGCAATTACTAATATTGAAAGAGCGCTAGTCGATTTTCAAGAAACCTATAATCTTCCGGTTGATGGAACATTAAATAAAGAAACCTTACGTCTAATAAATAAACCGAGATGTACTAAGAGTGAAAATGCTTTTACTACACATTCTAAATGGAATAAAAAGCATTTAAAATGGTACTTTCCTCAAGCGACGCAGAACGCAAAGTATCTCGAAATAACCAAGAAAGCTTTTGATGTGTGGGCACAGAACACTACTCTAACATTTGAATATGTTCGCATACCTAATCCAAGAGCAGATATTACGATTGTCGTTACAAGTGCAAATCACCGCAGTCGCTATAACTGTCAAGGAAATCAAAAATGTAGTTTTTTATTTGATGGTGCAGGAGGAGAACTTGCTCACTCATATTTTCCTAATAACGATAAATGCATCGAGATTCATGTTGATAGAGATGAGGCGTGGTATATTGGAGATGGAGAAACACCTGAAGGTCAACATAACTTATTTGCGGTGCTTACTCATGAAATTGGACATGCTCTTGGATTAGGACATAGCAGTAATGGAAATGCAGTTATGTATCCCTGGTATCAAGATGAAAATCTAAACCTTGATGAAGATGATCTAATGGCAATTGAATCCTTATATGGAAGAAATCAAAAATTTGCTCAAATTCCTCAAAATATTCTAAATCAAATGTATTTAACGACAACTAAAAAACCTAAGAAATCTAATTATACAGCGATAACTAAAAAACCTACTAAAACCACTCGTTCAACGACCGCTAAAAATCTAGTAAAATCAAATAATTCAACGACTGCGTCGACAGCATCAACCGCGATGTCTAACGTTAAGAAATTCCCTCAGGAATCCTCTACAAATTTATGTAATATCAAAATACCTGATTTCATGTTTTTAGCTACTGCACCTAGTTTCCCTAACTATCGAATGTATGTAGGACACGACACCTTTTTGTGGAATTTAGATTTAAATGATATGCATATTCCACTCGCACCAGAACTCATTGCAGATTATCTTCCTAAGGAACTCAGATCTTACAACATTTCGCATATCTTTCAAAACTCTGTTGGAGACTTGATTACAATCACTAATCAAATGTTGTATGCAGTATCGTTTCCTAATTTAAATATTCAAAATAGTTTTAATTTACCAATTAATATTAAATCAATTAATGCTCTCTTTCAAACAAACAGCGGGCAGATATACCTGTTGTACAACAACAATCTCTATATTGAATTTAATGAAACTGGAGAAATACTAAATCGTGGACAAATAAGAGATTTGTTTCATGGAATTCCAGAAGATCTAACATCGGCATTTAGATATACAGATGGTCATATATACTTTTTCACTAACAATACCTACTATAAATACAGCGAATATACGAAAAAAGTTGTAGAAGCAGGATCCTTCAGCTGGAATCTTTTTGGAATACCATGTCCTGATGATGGTCTATTAAATCAATTAAAAACTATGTTAAGAAAAATAATTTCTTTTTATGAATAAACGGTTACTCTTTTTTCTTTTTTTACTTTCCCACCCTCAAAATAAA